ACGGTTCTATACCGAAGCAACTAAAGGATGATCAGTATTCATGGTTGGATTATCTTGTCTAGATGCCACCTCAGCTCTCATGTTTGCCAGACGAATAAGAACAGCCTGGCAACGGTGAAAAATGTAACGCTTGCAAAATTATATTATATAATCAATCCTTTAGGTAAGCCTTCACCGTAATTGTCAATGATAGAACAGGATGTATCCTCTATATTTATATCGATCACGCATACTAAAACAAGGTCAAATGAACAAATAACAATACCTTCCTGAAAGCATGAGGATTAGCAACACCTAGTATTTGGACATCATCACTCGGTGGCCGTGTCACTCCAATACTCTCTATTCTAATAGAGTATACGCCGTATAGGGACTGCAGATATCCTTATAAAGCAGAAATCCATAACAAGTAATGCGTTACTATGTGAGGTCTGTCGAACTCGTTCGGCCCAAAGACTAATTAATTTATTACTGAAGAAACAAATGCTGCAATAACGTGTAATGGTAAACACAGAATTTAGTTAAGACCATCACTGACGTTTTCCACCGAATGGAGCTTTATGTTCAGATTAACATACAAAACTAATCAAGCATTCCGCGTAATTGGGGAACACAGAAGATGCTCTGGACAAAACGTTCCTAACAAAACGACACTAAATTTTTTTTCACTGTTCTTCAACTGATCATCTCGAGTACTCGATCTAGCTATGTTTGGTACAGAAATTATAAAATTATAAGAGGGAGCAATTTCCAATAACTAAAGACCCCTGTATTTTTTTCAACGTACCTCCTAAAACGAAAGAAAAAGAAAAAGAAAAGGAAAACATGCCAAAGAATTAAACCAATGAGAAAATAACAGCTCGTAAAAGTGCAGTATTTACCCTGTTCGATTAAAACATTAGCCACTGATGGCAGCAAGATGTGATTCTCCTTCTTCAAAACTCCGAAACACGGAAAAGGCATGGGTCTTCTCACCTGGAGTCACAGCTCGACAAACTCTTAGTAATCAAAACAGACGAAAAACCAAGTTATGAAACAAATTTAAGACGTGCCGAACGGGAATCTTTCCCCATCATTCTACAATATCATTATTCCAGCTGAGTCGATATGGACACCATATTAGACAACAGCCTCAAAACAATAACCCATCAGGCATCAGCTAGCTTACGCTCCTCAATTTTCTCGATTCAATTGGGATCACTCACAAAAACATCAGCACAAGAAAACGAGTTAACAATAACAAACCGGACATTGTTTATAGAAACCACCAGCATCCCAACAATATGAGAACTGCCTCAAAACAATAACCCAATCAGCTAGCTTATACCCCTCAATCTTCTCGATCGAATTACGGAAAGCTTACAGAAACTTCAGCTTATCAGTACGAGTAAACAATCACAAATTGAACATTATCAGTAAAACCCACCAGCAGGCAGCACCACACCAATACCATCAACATATCAGCAAAACAAGACAGGAACATGATACCGAACGGGAACAATCAGAAAACAGCGATGACAACAAGATGATACCAAAAGGATTTACCTTGTAAACAATGGAATTGGGCGTAATGTAGAGCCTTCGCGAGCGGATGTCTCTGCGCAGAATATACCTCCGCACGGGCAGATAAACCAGCATGAACAAGCCGATGCCCCACGCCAGGATCAGAAGCAGCGAGTAAGAAACCCACCGCGCCGTTTGGTATTTGACGAATTTCTCCTCCGATTCGCCAAACGACGCCGCATAGAGGGCTGGCTCTTCGTCTTCGTCCTTGTCGCTGTCGGTGAGGTAGCGGTCGTGGGCCGGGTAGGGATCCGAGCCGCCGCCTAGCAACAAGCGGCGCTCGAGGCGGTCCGTTTCCGCCGAACGGTCGTCGTGATCCATGAAAATCTTGATACTGAATGGGGATGATTGCAGTTTGTTGATGGCCTGATACTCATTTATCAGTTTTCTCACTTTATATTAATTATGTAATTAAAATTGGTTTTTATACAAATGGACATTTTTTTTTTTTTTCCCCGCAAGTGTAAGATTTTAGAAAATTAACGAGAAAGTAGAAACTAATTATTAACTCATATTTTTAATATATGTCGTTTTGAGAAGTTGCACACTAATTATGAATATTTTTTTTCAATAATAACTTTATTTAATAAGATAGAGATGAATGTTTTGAGAAAAAATGAAGAGTGAATATGAAAAGACGTAATGTATTTATTGGCTAAATAAGGGTAATAATGAAAAAATATGTACAAAAGATCCAAAACGATATTTATTTAAGAAATAGCTAGAATGACATCTAAAAAAATAGAAGGGAGTATAAATTAGGGAAAAGTGATAGCCGACATAGAACCACTTTAACTTTATGAACCGTCCAAGGTTACGTCACTCCAATCCTATCATAAATTATGTCTTAAAAATAACATACTTAGAAAATCTCATAACTATAATCTAAAAAAAAGACTGGAATTATCTTAATGCATATAAATACGGAAACGATTTCATTTATCTATTTGACCACCCCAGGATGTTCGAGTTGGCAACAGAACCACTTTTGATCCTTTTTTTAATTAAAAAATAAAATAAAATTTATATTAAAAATAAGTCCAAATGTAGGGAAAAGAATCAATTTTGACTTTAAATAGCATAGAGTTGGAAAAATAAATGTTGAGAATGATGAAGATAGTGTGTATTGAATGTGAGCACTTGACTCAGATGTGGCTTTCTTCTCTCTTCCTTTCCTTCACGCGGCGTGCATTCTCGTATGCAAGTCTCCGACTTGTCACCACGGTGTTGTTTGCTACTTTTGAAAAGTCTTCTCCATCATGAAAAACAAGGCGTGCCATACGGCGACATGCTGAATCTGGTAGTGCTCACATTCCATCTTCCCTGAGGCTAAGCTAACCTCAAGAAAGTCTATCGTAAAATAATCTTTCCCACGACTTCTCGAACTTCTAAGCTTGAGAATCAACCTTAGTTATACTCATGAGAAAACTTATGAGTCTTTGTCTTAATAAACAGACTACCTTTAGTTTCACATGTCTAGATGGCTCTTACTTGGCCTCTAAATGTTCTCTTAAGACATTTAACTGGTCGTCTTGGTGTTTGGAATGTGATGCTTATTGTCTTATTGTTGTGTGATAACATTCGACCTCAAGTTTCCAGATAAATTTAGACTAATGATCTGTATTTCAGATCTCCATATTTTACCCGGCTAGTAACTATTATACGCCGACCTTAAAACTCATGAACGTTGGCGTCTGACTAGATACTATGTAGGGCTATTCCAGTATCAACTGGTCCCGCAAGTACAATACAAAATAACTGATCTAGAACCCCACTAACGATCATCGGCCGACACGAAAAAATTTTGCTCGGAAAAGAGCTTTTTCATATATTTTTTTTTTTTTATTTCATAATAGTCAACACAATGAAAGTTAAGAGTTTTTAATGGAAGAAAAACCGAAAATGCAAACATCCAAAGATCATAAAGAGAGATTTAAAATGGAAATGTTCCTGCTCATGCCATGAGCTGCTGATCATGTCCAGGTACTGTATGGGGCCTACTGCATGTGGTCGTGTCACGTCCGGGCCTGTTGGGTCGCGGCACGACGCCTGCTCCTGCTGCGGTATGTTGGTCCGTTTTTCCTTGCGCGGCTTCGCTCGGTTGCCCGATTCTCATCAGTAAGCACGACACGCATTAGCTCACAAACAGGAGGTGCTGATTTGGATACATTTTCTTTTAACCAAACACGTGTTTTAAAACTCAAACCCCCTTAAGATGATTTCTAACTTTTATAAAACTGCATGAACTTCACTTTTAGACAAAGATGAATGAAAGCTCACCAGAAAATAACCAAACTTTTAAAAATAAAACGAGTTTCTTTCCCATTTCTGAATCCCTAGATCTGTTTTTGCTGGACTACATACATACATTAATAGTAGGAATCTCATTAATCCTTATGCATGCAGTCATGGCTACAGGCCAAACCGGCCCGTGGTTTTACCCAAGCCGGTTTAAATTCATTCATTTATACAAAATAGAACCAGCCATTCCTGTTCGGAATCAGAGCCGCCGGCTCGTCTTTTTATTGTATTTTTTATTATATTTTTTATAAACGAAATTGGCCCAGAACCAGAGGTTCATGAACTTCCCGTTATATATTATCGGTCCAGTTCAAAGCCCTCCAAAACACGGCCTGGAACCAGGAAATGACCACATCTATATGCATGTCAATGAGACCTTTTTTGCTACATTAATAGTCATAGTTACCCCTGCAGAAAAATGGCTAGCAATGCTTGAACAAACACAAAGTAACAGCACACTGAAACAAACTGGCTATATACACTGAAAAACACGAGCAAACATCACCAGCCAAAGTTCCTAATTTTACCCGAAATAACAAGTGAAATGCAAACAGATAAATCCTAGAAATTAGCAGACAAAGTTCCAGCATTGTACTGAAAATAGCAAGTGCAAACCAGAGCAAATCCCTGAAATCCCTAGTCAAATTCCTACATTATACAGAAAATTAAGAAGTGCAGAGCAAATTCCATAGAGTTCACAAGTCAAGTACCTACATTATACTGGAAATAACAAAAGCAACTATGACCACAGAGAATCCCGAATACTGTTTGGAAATACTTGAAGCTCCCAAAGGACACAACAGGAAAGCAATCCCGAACCCAAAACTCTTGTGAGACCCCTACATATTAGACAGCATCACATATTGGGCCGACAAACGTCTGTCCACCCAGCTGGTTGCTCGGGGCCTGACCTCCGGATCCCTTTTCTTGAGTCGGGCTACTGATTCTCGATACGCAGGACCTCGGCAATGGCTCATAAACACATGATTTCCCCTGCATATTGGTTTTGACAAGGGAGAACATCAAAATAAACCCCCAAAACCAAAACCCCTCCATATATAAGTACAGAGAACACCAAAAAATAAACCCAAAAACCCTCCATATATATAGAGTATCAAAATGATTCCCCAAACCCCTCCATGATGTATCATGAGAGAAACAAAATTTTCACATGTATACTGCAAATTATCGGAGAACATAGAAAAACACACCTTAAGCAAGCAGTCCATGACCCTGCCCCATACATCAGCCATGACATCCTTGACCCGCCACACAACCTCCGGAAACTCAGGGACCTTCATTTTGGCCACAGAATCCCGAACAAACTCCACACATGGATTTGAATAAAATGCATAATAGCCCATTATCAACCCGAAGGGCACTCGTGACTTTTCTTGCTTGTTGGCGACAAATAGCAATGGGCTCACAACAACTGCGAGACAGATATTAGCCAAGTCGAAATGTTTGATAGATACCACGCCCGAATTGACTATGCCCATAAGGTGCACGAACAAGAGATTACTCATGACTAGTTCCCAGACATCCTCCGAGTAGAGGGCCAACCCAATGGGCACAGTGGAAAACAGCGCGTCGAGTACTATCCCGACAATTACTCCCACCTCGATTTTCTGAATGTGGTGTGTAAACGGCAGCAGAAGTAGGATGAAGATGTATGCTGAGGTGCTTGTTACCACTTTCAACAGCTTCAACGGGTTGATTTCACCATGGAGAGCATCCCAAGCGAGCAGAACACCGACCAGAGCAAGGAAAGAGAGTGAAGCCGTGATACTCCAGCGCAGCCTCCTGCTGATTTCACTACAAACGAACAAGTAGAGAAGAAATTAAGTAGAGGAGAAATTAAGCAGCTGGAAAGTAAAGGAGACGGCGAAATTCGATCTGCTTACCTTCGCTCAGCAGCGGCTAGGGTTCGTGCTGCGACGGGAGGAGGCGGCGGAGTTTGTTTGATCGAAGGATTCAGCGGCGGAGGAGGGACACGGAAGACGTCGGAGTCGGCAGGCGGTTTTTCGGTGCTCGGCAGTGGTCCTTCAGCCGCCGGTGGCGAGCGGTTAGGGTTCTCCAGTGCGGAGAGGTTGGATTTGCTTGGCGCCAGCTCAGGGCCTCCGCAGGCGGTGGGCGGTGCGCCGGTGAGGGAGGGTGAACGGAGCATTGTTAGCGTCGTGAAAGGGTTAAAAATGAGAGAATCGGTCTGACGATGGTCACAATAGTTACCATTTTATACGAAATATCTTGGAGACGATGGGTCGCAATATATCGCTTTTTGGGCTAAAAAGGGCCAATGTCTGGGCCAGTAAATATGGGCCGCCAACCGTGAAGCCTTGACAGTTGACAGTAACATCACGGAAATCACGCCCAAAATATATAGAATGGAGGAAGTTTACAATTACAATGGGTAACTGATTTTAAGTCATTCCCGTAATTATTTTTTGTCTATTAGGTACTCCCTCTTCTCTATATCCATACTTATATTAAGAGTCATCCTATTTATTAAAACTAGTACGTAACCCCGTGCGATGCACGGGCTGTATTTATTTTGGTAAAAATTATAACTAAAGGCTAATATTAATCAATAAGTTATAATATCGTAGGACATTTGTCAGGTAATCAGAAAATGTTCATCATGAAAAAGTCATACATTGTTAAAATCCTTCTTGTTTTTCCATGCAAATTATTTTGCTCTTGACAACTGTAGATCGATATTTATAGTAATTGCTAATTGCATAGACACCTCATTTCTCTAATTATTTGTTGATTTTTGGATTGTTAAGACCACGAAATAAAATTATAATATAATATTATTATATAGCTTTGGCGATTTAATGAGAGTAGGACTTTCACGATTAATTATTTGTGCTAACAATATTTATATCTACCATGTAAAATTTATAATTTTGTAAATTATTGTCTAATATTTGTAAATATTACACGTAAATATTTATAAATATAAATATTTCACATACCCATGAAGTAAAGATTATATTTGTAAAGATTACAAATATATA